CTTCCTTCCTTCCTTCCTTCCTTCCTTCCCTCCTTCCTTCCTTCCTTCCTCCCTCCCTCCCTCCCTCCCTCCCTTCCTTGTGCTTAGAATCAGGGGTGAAATACAACAGGTTCTGACAAGTTCTGGAGAACCAGTAGCGGAATTTTTCAGTAGTTTGGAGAACCGGCAAATGCCACCTCTGGCTGGCCCCAGAGTGGGGTGGGGATGGAGATTTTGCAGTATCCTTCCCCTGCCACGTCCACCAAGTCACACCCACAGAACCGGTAATAGAAAAAAATTGAATTTCACCACAAAATTAGCCTGCAATACTAGAATGCAGTATTGCAAGCTAATTCTGCCAATTGCCAGGAGTTTGATCCTGACCAGCTCAAGGTTGACTCATCTTTCCATCCTTCCTAGGTCAGTAAAATGAAGGCCCAGATTGTTGTGGGCAAGAGGCTGACTCTGCAAAACTGCTTAGAGAGGGCTGGGAAGCCCTGGGCAGCAGTATATAAATCTGAGTGCTGAGTGCTATCGCTATTTTTAAAGCTAATATTGATAATGCATAAGTTTTTATAGCTGCAACTGTTTTCACATAACTTTTTTTATGATGTCGTTAAAGTTTTTAGGAGATGTTTAGCTTATTCAAAGAAAGTTGGAATATACAAATATTTAAAAACAAGGGCAAAAGAATAAAAAAAACACAAGGAAGATATTAAAAAGAAAAAGGGTCTTGAAAAAAGGCTAACACGTATAAAAATACTATCCACCCTAGTTAAATGCCGATTAATATAATACAGCAATGTTGATTCCCCATTGCTTGAAAAACAGGCCAAAATAAATTTAAGCTACTAAATCTGATTACAAATATTTAGCTTGCTATCTATATACTATATTAGTAGCTGGATACCCATGCTTCGTGATGAAACTATGTGATTGGGCTATGCAGGAGAAATTTGGTTCACAATCCCTTGGCTCAGTGGTGGGCGGTGATTGAAACAGATAAGGGACTATCTCTCCCGCAACCTATGAGTCCAGAAGTGCTTCCATAGGTGGAAGGCATAAACATTTTGATGAGGTACCGACGTTTAGTACTGTAAGGAGCCCCAGACCGCTCCTGAGTGACGGAGTGGAACGTCTATCAGCTTGAACTGAGGCAACGGAATGTGAAGGAACTGGCAGTTGGAACAGAGTTCTTTTCAGGTGGGGAGGGGGAGTAGAATGTCTAACTCCTCAGCATCAGTGCGTGTTAATATAAGACAACTGGCAGTTGGAACAGTGTTCTTTTCAGGTGGGGAGGGGAAGTAGAACTCCTTAGCATCACAGCATGTTACTTATTAGTGATCTGATGGTCATTTTGACAAATCATTTTTTTAGCGAGCACCTAGAAGCCAAGAGGAACATTCGTGCCAAATTTCAAGTTTGTAGGCTTTATGGTTCTGGAGATTTCATGATGAGTGAGTGGTACCTGCCTTTTATGTGTATAGATTAATAACAAATTAGTTAACAGGAAAAATAATAATAATCAATGGTATTAATGTTACTACCATTTTATCAAACCTTAGTAAAACCACACGAAGGACACAGCATCCAGTTTTTGTTGTCACATTACAAAAAAGATGTTGAGACTTTGGAAAAAATGTAGAGAAGAGCAACTAAGATGATTAAAGGCCTGGTGACTAAAACATATGAAAAGTTGCAGGAATTGGGTATGGCCGATCTAGAGAAAAGAAGGAGTAGGGGGGATATGATAGCAGAATTCCAATATTTTAGGGGCTGCCACAAAGAAGAGAGGGGGTCAACTTATTTCCCAAAGCACCAGAAGGCAAAACAAGAAACAATGGTTGGAAACTGGTCAAGGAGAGAAGCAATTAAGGAGAAACTTCCTAACAGTGAGGACAATTAACCAGTGGAACAACTTGCCTCTAGAAGTTTTGGGTGTTTCAACACTGGAGGTTTTTAAGAAAAGACTAGCCAACCACTTGTCTGAAATGATATAGGATCTCTTGCTTGAGCAGGGGGTTGGACTAGAAGACCTCCAAGGTCCCTTCCAGCTCTATTCTGATGAACTTTCTCATATAAAAGTATAAAAGCAATGAGAATTATTAACAACAATAGAAGAAAGATGAGATTAAAAGTCCAAAATCCTCTATTAACAAATGATACCCTCATTGTGATNTCTACTCTACTCTACTCTACTCTACTCTACTCTACTCTACCCTACTCTACTCTATTCTTTGATTCGGTGTGTGTTTTATTGTTTTGTGGTGTTCTGTGGTAGTGACTTTGCTGTATATTTATTGTCTTTCTCTTATTTTTAATGCTGGTCAAAGATTGCAATCAAGCAATTTCATTTCACTCAATGTCTTCGTTTCTTTCTCTCCTTATCCCCTTCAGGTGTTCCCAGGCCCACAATTTTATCTCACAAAAAACTTGGCTTTTTTTTCATGCAATAAAATGCATATTTTAAAAATTGCTCTTTACAACCCTTCCCTTAGGATTGTAAACTCCGGAATCATTTAATTGAACACACTGAAAACCTCCCTCCGAGGATGGCTAGCTCATTATATAAGTTCCTCCAGGTGAAATCACATTTTATGGTTCACAGAAACAAAGATGAGCCCTAGGAATTCCTAACTAAATCTATTTAAGGGCTTTAAAACATACTTTTGCCTCTTAGGTTGGGGAAATCATTGTAACTTTATAGTACATCATCTACCAAGTAGAATATATACATATCAATGTAATGAAACATAGCATTGAGCCTCTGTGGCACAGTGGTTAGAGTGCAGTACTGCAGGCTATTTCTGCTTACTGCCCGCTGTCTATAATTCAGCAGTTCAAATCCCACCAGGCTCAAGATTGACTTAGCACTCCGTACTTCCGAGGTGGGTAAAACGAGGACCCAGATTGTTGGGGGCAATTGGCTGAATGTGTAAACCAACCTTCCTTCCTTCCTTCCTTCCTTCCTTCCTTCCTTCCTTCCTTCCTTCCTTCCTTCCTTCCTTCCTTCCTTCCAGCACAGTGGTTAGAAAGCAGCATTGCAGACTAACTCTGCCAACTGCCTGGAGTTCAATTCTGGCTGGCTCAAGGTTGACTCAGCCTTCCATCCTTCCAAGGTGGGTAAAATGAGGACCCAGATTGTTGGGGGCAAGAGGCTGACTCTGTAAACCTTCCCTCCTTCCTTCCTTCCTTCCTTCCTTCCTTCCTTCCAGCACAGTGGTTAGAAAGCAGCATTGCAGACTAACTCTGCCAACTGCCTGGAGTTCAATTCTGGCTGGCTCAAGGTTGACTCAGCCTTCCATCCTTCCAAGGTGGGTAAAATGAGGACCCAGATTGTTGGGGGCAAGAGGCTGACTCTGTAAACCTTCCCTCCTTCCTTCCTTCCTTCCTTCCTTCCTTCCTTCCTTCCTTCCTTCCTTCCTTCCTTCCTTC